TACTCGTACATATAGGTGGACTTTATAAGAAATGGGGAGAATGTTCAAATTTCGCGGGCTACATATATTCGATTGGCGATTTTTTTATGTTGGAACACTCGTCTCGAACATATGTGTACAGTTTCAGCTGCCTAGCTTGTTGGTGAAAGGCATTTTTGTTGATTTTCTGCTATGGAAAAAAAATCAAAGAATTTACATTGAATTTTGTGTAAAAAAGGAAATTAAGTGTCAGAAAAATGTTTACAAGCTTTTCACAGAAGATTGAGAAAATATGAATGACTACGCTCGCCCTGGATGCCCCAGCATACCAACAATCGATGAAAATGTTGGGAAAGTGAAAAAAATTATTATGGATAATAGTCGAATCAGTATTAGAGAAGTTTTTGAGGATGTCGGCATATTGGTTGACTCATGTCATGCAATTTTCTCGATAATTTTGGGTAGAGGTGGGTGGCAGTTCGTTCCAAAATTGCTGAATATTTCCCAAAAACCCGTCGCATGGGCACCGCTTGGGAGTTACTGAATGATGTCAAAGGTGATCCAGATTTGCTCAAAAATGTCATAACTGTTGATGTAGCATAAGTATATGATAATTACATCAAAACCAAACTCCAATCGTTTCAATAGAAGAGGCCAGGAGAGCCAAAACAAAAAAAAGTACGCTGAGTTCGATCAAATGTCAAGGTTTTGCTCAATGTTTTCTTCGACTACCGTGGCATAGTGCATCAGGAGTTTTTGTCACGAAGTCGTACAGTCAATGAGGAGTATTATCTTGAAGTTGTGCGCCGCTTGCGAGGAGCAATACGAAGAAAAAATCTGGTATTATAGAAAAACAATTCGTGGCTTTTGAATCACGATAATGCACCTGCTCAGTCTTATTGCTTATTCGTGATATTTTGGCCAAAACAAACACAGTAATCAAGCTTCAGCTACCTTATTCACCAGATTTGGTCACCAGCGACTTTTTTATATGATTGAAGAGACCTATAAAAGGACGGCGTTTTGCGACGATTGAGGAAATAAAAACCAAATCGCTGAGAGAGCTCAAGGACATACCAAAACGTGCGTATCAGAACTGTTACGAGGCCATTTCCTATAAATTTTGTGGAACTGGAAACTATCCATGCTCTTATCTGACACGGTGAGTCGTTTAAGTTTGACATCATTGTGGAATTGGTAAGCCATAATTTCATCAAAAACGTCGAATAACAATCAGTTCAAACAGAGAGAGTATTTAAACTAGCGGGTGTGATAACCATATGAGCCCCCTTTAGTTTCGCCCTTTTCCCAGAAGTAGAATAGACATACTACAAATTCTGTTAAAAAATACATTTTTTAGAAAATGCCCCCTTTTTCAGTTCATTATAAAAAAGGGTTATTTTTCAGCGCGCTGGATCGATGTCACATATTGTCAAAGTTTTCAAGTTGCTATATGCATTTTATGGGTATACCTTTCAAAAGTAGTTTGTTTTTGATTTATGGTCAGAAAACTGAAGTGGTGGAAATTTCCAAGATTTTTGCGATTTTCTATTGGAAGCCGATATATGACAAGGTTGAAATTTGGATTCAGTATCCCATTAAATATATAGACCCTTGGATGATTGAACTATATTATCCGGTGAAAAATTCAGAAATGACCACTACATGAACATGTAGCGGTCACTTCTGAACATGTTGAAAATCCTCGTGAAGAAAGGTAGAAATGGAATCTCTGGCGCGGAATTGATTCAAAACACACTCTGTTTCCAAATACCAGAACTATAATACCATCCTTGGCGCGTGTTGCACAAACTAAGTCTTCAGGAAAAGAAATCAACCAATATTGAAAATGAATTAAAGTAAATCATTTCATGTCAATTTGGTTGGTGGATCGCGCAAGGAGAGTATTGCAAATCGGGTGTTTGGGAACAGTTCTCGTTTTGTATTCATCCGCTTCAAAATAATCAAAGGAATGCAAATCCATATTACGTTATGCCCATGAAACTTGACTTATAATACATTATTCTATAGGGTCTTCCAGCAGGGACTTCCAAAATTTGACAGTTGTTAACGGTCATTTTGTTGAAACTATATCTGACAAATCAGTGGTCATGTATTCAGTCTGTTGTGCCAAATCATCATGGACTGATATATCATTCAACCACACGTGCAAATGATGAAATTGTTTTATCAAAGCGCGCAGTACGTGCAACGTAGATCTGCTTGAAATATCGCCGCTGTTCTTGAGAGTGTGCAGGGGAATCGGAAACAGTCGATTTCGCGTCGCTCACAAGAACTTGACCTTTCGCAGACCACAAGTTGGCGAATTTTGCATCATGATTTTGTCCTGCGCCAACTGACCCAGGAACTGAAGGTAAACTACCATAGACAACGACATGTGTTTGGAAAATAGGCTCTGGAGCAATTGGCAACTGACCCTGATTTTCATCGAAAAATCATCTTCAGCGATGAGGCCCATTTCTGGATAAATGGGTATGTGAACAAACAAAATTGTCGAATTTGAGACGCCATGAGATCCAAAAGTGTTCAATGCATCCCGAAAATATATGTAAATAAGCCACAAACCACACCGGTTCTCATCGCCAACATAACCCATGCTGTCGGTCAAATTCAGCCTGATGATGTTATATTCCACTCATAATGGCATCAATAGGTCTTTTAAACGACTTTGTTTCATTTAAATTCAAAGATAGGAAGCGCTCAATTAAATATGTTAATATACAGTGCATTCCTTCAATGCCACCCCCTTTTATTTTTTGAACGAGTCAACTCAAAAAATTTAAATGTGCGATAATGAAATTAATGCATGAATACTTTATTTTGAAGTGAAATTGACAGATGAAACTTTCAAGATGGCGACTTGGCGCCATCTGGGAAAAAAATTTAATGAAAAGGGGGACGATTACTTCACAACCCTAGAATACGAAGTCAATATCCTACTACAAAATGGCGGAACATTTGATAATTTCCTGAAGACAAACACATTATTATCGATATTTCTAGAAATATTCCTTTTTATCTACCATCAATTCCAACAACCTAATAAGGTTGAAAAAAAAACTGTGGGTTTTTTTTTGTTTTTGAAAACGACAAAAAATGTCAGTACGACATTGTTCAGTTAGAATATTCTCATTTAGTTTTCGGTTTTACTAGTGAAAAGGTACCACGTCAACAATCTCTAAAATGATCAATTATCGTCCATTGGAAAGAAAAATTGAAGCGATTTCCATTTATGGTGCGACGCGTAAAGGAACTTGTATCCAAATTCACAACTACCGGTATTGTACATAACAAAAACGCCCCCAGATCATCCGTCCATTCCGGAAGAACAGCAAGTGCAAATCCTAAAAGTCTACTTATTTCGTCGCGAATGTTTATGAGGAGGCTTCTTCTACTGTGTGGAGACTTTTGAAGAGGAATAGGTATCATCCATACAAAATTAAAATGGTACACCAATTAACTGAAGATGCACCTGATCGCAGAACAAAATTCTACAAAATCGTGACGGAAACCATTGCAAGGCATCCTACCTATCTCCACAATATTTGTTTTAGTGACGAATATACACTTTTTATACGGCAATGTTCACAGACAAAATTGCCGTTATTGGAGTGACACCAACCCTCACGTTTTCCGGGAAACACATACCCAATATCCAGAAAAATTAACGTTTGGGCATGAATATTGGGAAACCATATTGTAGGACCTTTATTTATCGATCATAATTCAACAGGAGAACTGAATTTGTATATGCTGGAAACTACTCTTCACCCTCTCATCACTGAAATCGTCGAAACAAATCCTAATGAATTTGATATTGATATTGTATTCCAAAAAGATGGAGCACCACATTACTCCAGACAAGTAAGAAACTATTTGGATACTACTTTTTCCATCCATTGGAATGGCCATCGAGGTCCATCAGAATGGCCAGCCCGCTCGCCAGATTTAACACCTTTGGACTCGTTTTTATGGGGCTATTTGAAGAAAAAAGGTGTACGAAACTGAACCTGCTCCAATATTGGATATACGGCAGAGAATAATAAATATTTGTAGAGATATTGACGTTACTGTGTTCGAAAATGTTCGGCGTGAAATATCGGATATATGTCAGGAAGTTCAAAGCAACCATTTCGAGCATCTTCTGAACTGACCTCAAGTTTATTAAGTCATATTATGTAGGCGTCATCATCATATTATGATGGCGCCCAGTCGCCATCTTGGAAGTTTCATCTGTCAATTTCACTTCAAAATAAAGTATTCATGCATTTATTTCATCATCCCAAATTTTAATTTTTTGAGTTGACCCGTTCAAAAAAAAAGGGGGGGGCATTGAAGAAATGCACTGTATGCTTTAGGTAACTCCGTGCACTGATTTGAATACAAAAACTCATTTGGGTGGACACCATCTGAAAGACTTCATTCGTTGATATGGATAAGGGCAGTTTCAGAAGAGAATAATATTAAGGATATAAGAAGAAATGAACTCTGCATATGAAATGTAGGAGCTATTTGTGAAGAAAACAATATATTGTGACACGAACTGAAAATGAATCAGTAATATGTCATAGAAAAATATTAATGATATTACAAAATTATAAATTGAATTGTTGTGTCAATGTCAATTTAATGTTTCTCGAAATTGAATGGTGTTTCATACATTTCAAATGTGATTTTCAAATTTTATTCACGGATTGGAAAAGTAGACAAATAAATATTACTGAAAAGTTAGATACATTCTCAATTGCATTTTATTCAAACGCAGTCTGGGCGAACATAGTATTTGATTTAGGGGAAATGAAAACCCAGAAATGATAACGATAACTCGTGTACCTCCGCAAACGTTGGGAACTGTTGAACAAAGAAATCGTTGAATGAAACGTTTCACCAGATGTCAATATTTTGTAGTTCAAACTTCAGCTTATTGAGAAGGAAGAAATTGTCAACTCCAAAATAACTTTGTAAAAGGGCGCATCTTTGAAATAATTTTCTGATTTCAGACCCAAAACACTGTATATGAAATAGTTTCTGACATGAGCACAAGACAGGATACTTTGGAAGATAGACTCAGTACAATGGAAGATAAACTGGTAGCACTTCAAGAACAACTAGATCTTCTACCTGACATGATAGCTACCAGAATACAGTCTCAGGTGAGTGACTAGTGACGCTTAAAAACTATCACCCACACTTCCACTGGAGCTTGTGACTGAAAAATAACTAGACCTACTACAATGTTGAAAGAAATGCATAAAAGTCATGAATATATCAGGTTAGTAGTACTACACTATAAATGCGAAAGTCACTCACATAACACACACTCATTTATCTCTTTCTCTCCATAGAAAGCTGAAATTCGGTATATAGGTGCTTCTAAGGTCTTAAATGGGCACTAAGAAAGGATTTGCGAATATTCCTACTGGGGCGCCCCCGTGGGGGTTAAAGATTCGCGTTTACATATGAAAATTACCTTTTCATTACTGTTTCTTCGTATGGCTATATTTTGAAAGGCTGAAATTTTGTATGTAGGTTCGTACAATACAAAAGAATTTTCAAGTATTTTAACTGGGGCGCCAGTCGAGGGATGAAAATTCGCGTTCACAAAATAAACTTACCTTTTCATCACTGTTTCTCCATACCGAAATATTTTCAGAGCCTGTAGATGTGCAATAAGACAGGATTTTTTTCCTTTTTTCCCCGCAGCTGGTGCATCTGTCCATAATATGATCAATATGACCCCGTACAGCATGTAATTTGAATGAATATATTTTAAGATATAACAGATCTGAAATGCAGCGACATAGCGGTTGTGGCGGTACCGGGTCCCAAATTTTTAATTGTTCTGTAGATCACATTCAAATCTTTTTCTCAAAAAATGAACGATATTCTTGACGTGTTCTTTGAAGAAGGTTTAAAACTCTATCTCTTATTTCTTGGAGTTGGATAGACCTAGTTCATAGCTTGTTTCCGTAGTTTTTTTCAGAAAGAATGATATGGCATTTTCTTTGATAAAACTTAGTTCTCTCTGAAAATTACTTTCCAAAAGTGGAATATTTAAAAGCTAGTCTTCGAAGCATACTATTGAATGTTGCTACTTTGTGCTGAACAGATGTGTCGAAAAAGTATGTATGATTAGGTCCTTGAAATATGGGTCTTGGAAAATTGTATTATTATGTTGATTATTGATTTCAGTAAAAGTCAAGTCTACAAAATTCATTGAGTTATTCGCCTCTCTCAGAAGTGAATTCAATCGATGAGTAAATGGAATCGACAAATTCGACGAACTCAACAGTCTACAAGTATAGCAGCATCTACGAACCTGTCCCATTTTGTAAACGTGTATATTGGATACTCCTTATGCATTTTTACCTATCTAGAAAACTCAATACAACAGTCCATTTAATTTCATCTCTCTGTTTTCCTTTCAGCAAGAAAAAATCGAACAGCGACGAAACTTCCTTCATCCAGAATCAGCGGCAGGTCTCCAACAGGCCCGAAGTGTACCTCCTGGATGCCCTTGGCCTGGTCCAACAGTATTACCGCCTCTGGGAAAGTCTTGTATTCCTCCATCATCTGGACAGAGTTGACTCACTTAGAGAGTTACCTTCTGAGAGCAGTATTTAGTTGCATATAAAACCTATACTTTGTATGAGTGACATGGATTGAGTTCCATCATTTCATATCAAGACAATTTTTTTAAATTGTACTTTGCCAATGCTTTCGCTCTAAATTCTCAGGACATCTGACTGTAGTGTAGTTCATTTGAGATTGACTCTACCTTGGTATATTTCATATTCTCGAATATTTTTTTTCCTTCATATTTAATATTTTCTCAAAATTCATATTTCACATGATTAGAGAGCCTTTCTAAGGAAAAATGTTTTGAAATACCCAAAGGCATATTCAATTTTTTCTCGGCCTCCCCCCACCACTATGACGTATTAATTGCTTTTTTTATTGGTTGTTGTTTGGTGAAGTTTTTTTTGTTGTGCAGTGAAGTCAAGGCGTTGTGACCTTGAAGTGTCTGGTGCATGGATAATCATCCTGAACTGAGAAGTATCTGAAAAATGTATAAACTGGAGAGATACATCAAATTATTCAACAGTATTAAAAAAAGCTATAGTTGTATGTCCTAGATGAAATCTCTGCTAACAAGTGCCAATTAAGACAGGTTAGTACTATTTCTACTGAGAGCTGAAATAAGTTTTTCTACTTTGTAAATATATTTCAATTTTTACCTTTCACATTGAAACAAATGGCACATTATGTAACACCATGTAATTCTTCAATGAAACGATTGTGGATGATTATAGTATTTTTAGTAATCACAGAAGTAACCAACGAAAAGCACATCCATATTTATATACACAAATTAGGTTCAGTGAAATGAAACTGCGTTCTCCACTGCCCACAGTTGTGAATTTGAAATAAATTGAATAAATAACTGACTTACGTCAAGGAAAAGTGATCATAATTTTCCTTCACTGCCTACTATAATTGAATTGTAGTCCACGTTTAAACAACTTTCCTGGTACAGCTAGTTGATGAGAGAACCAGAAAAAAGGCATGTATTGGATATTTGCGTTTATGAAACAAATAAAATAACTTCTGTTCTATGGGGTTATAAAATATATAGAATATCTGGTGGAACCATTTATTTTCAACTGTTATCTACATGTCCCCTTTTCAACGTATTGTGAATAATAGGCATCGTTTTCTGGCAATTACAGTGTACAAAATGTATGATTGACAGCGTGAAATTTGATTTCTTGGAAATCACCCTCTTGGTAAACTGGAATATCACGTTAATAATTTTCTCCGTCAGTGTCATGGAATAGCCGACTCGACAAAAATACTATTCAATACTGTGTTGATGACTATGTTTTCGAGTTCCACAAATCAAACCATTGACGAACAGCAAGAAATCAAAGTTTTGCTCGAATATAATCTTCTCTGAAGTACCGATAAATTCAAAGGAGTCGTTTGAATTCTTACTGTCAAGGAGGCTGGAAGATTAGACAACACATTCTCCATCTTCACACTTTCCTCTATTCAGTTTGTATTTCAAAGATTCGTTATGGAATTGAATCAGATATCATTCACAGGATTTCCAAACAATATAGTAAATGAAAGAAATAAAATTTTACATACATGGAACACTGTCATCCTCACTGGTAGACATTCGATGTTTCGCCGTGTTTTCGTACAATTCAGGTTTCATGTAAAAGTAAAAGTAGCTATTTCGAGAGAAATTTTTCTGTTTCAGTTGCTGTCTGAAAAATACTTTTTTGCATTATCTACACGTGTATGTATAAAGTTACTTCCTTTAAAATTGATCGCTTCCTTCCTTTCTTTGGAAAATTTCCACATTTTTTGTATCAAGATGGAGAAGTAGGAAGCCCAAACTTTTCTTTCCAAAGAATTAACCTCCTCTGAAAATATACCTCCTCCATTTCAAATTTCAGTATATAATATTTTCTCAATTAGTCTCTTTGTATCGTACGACCCAGCTGTATGAGCAGAAGGAAAGACAGCTTTCTATATAGACGATAGAAGAGGTTAGGTATGTGGTTAGTATTGCAACAATCATACAATTCGCAATTGGTATATACGAAATATTTTGTGTTTTGTTTCCAATTCCTTTCACTTATCTCAATAATTGATTCATTGTTGTCATAATATATTCATGGACTTATAAATCAGAGTTATTGTTTCGAATAGTTTCTATCATTTTCTATCTATATCCTTAAATTGATGTTCACCGGTAAGCATTACGAAATGATATCACCGAGATATGGTGGTATTTTTCCAATTCCCCTATTAACTCAAGGCGTATCTTGAAGATGTGTACAAACGGAGACTACGACGTAGCTACCGCAAGGAGTAGCGAAGGAAATTTCATTTCAATTTTCAGTTGCATTTCGTTAAAGATAGTACTTGCAAATGTTGGCAGTCGAGAAAAACATTTTTACATAATTTTATATGTAAATATGTAGGTATAAAAACTTTTAAACGCTTGATAAGTAACTTTAACTTCAATATTTTGTACGATAAATGGATTATCTGAAAAATACTTGTGAGTACCAATCTTTCTCTCTCTTGTTGATCAGAAGTCAAAAACCAATTAGTGAAATTAATTTTATTGAAAATGAAATACAGGATATCTCAAGATCTCTTCTAAAAAAGTGAGACTTCATAAATGAGCACTACCGATTATGGCTAATCGACAGTTTGAACTGCCATGCAGTATGTAATTTCTATATAATATTGAACTATTTGTTACTTAATAAGTTAGAAGTCATTGAAATCGTCCATAAAAGCCATATACTTCTGGGATGTATTTCGAAAATCATTTAAATTTCCCAGTTATGGAGTTGAGTTGATTGAGAACTGTTGTTGAGTCATTGCTTCTGCGATGAAATTCAGTCCTCTGAAATCATACATTTCGCTCTCTGAGATGAACAATATCTGATTATTCTGTAGAGAATGTGTATTTGAACTATGTGATAATATAAGAAGGACCAACAGCAATAACATTTCATAAAAGCAATACCATATACCACATAGAAATTTTGGTAAATTGAAAATTGATTGCAATGAATTATAACACAGTCAACTACTCAACTGATATTTTTTGTTATCGATAAAAATGCACTGTCTGAACAATTCATTTTATTTAGCAGATTTCGTAAAAGTTGTAGAAAAGAAATGGCTACCATGAAGTTCAAACCTACTAAATCTGACACGATCAAATGTAGTAAAAATTTCAGGTTAGGTTGTTAAGTCGTAACCTAACCCAAGTTCAGAATAAATTTCAATGCATGCATCTCATCTTTATGTTGTTTCTGCCTTTTTGGGGTGATCCTGAAATACTCTGCATATATCAAACGTCAATGGAGTGAAAGACTTCTGAGTGTTCACAACTGCAAAAATGTGACCAACTCACAGAGATCAGAACATCTTGAGGGTGTACAGGTACTCATTTTATCTTTCGGACAAATATGGTAAGTAAAAACATTTTTGAAATGGGAAGTGCACCTCAGTAGTTGTTTACAGCTGATTCTCGGCCTCCCCCCACCACTATGACGTATTAATTGCTTTTTTTATTGGTTGTTGTTTGGTGAAGTTTTTTTTGT